CATGGTGTCTGTTTTGTGTGAGTTCCTGAGTATTGGTTTCATGAATAGTTAATTTCATAAGGAAATAAATTCAATCCTTTCACACACATGAAACAATAATTTACTCCTGTATTTAAATGTGGTTGTCATTCCTGAAACTTTACATGACCTTTAAAGAGATCAAGCATTTAAAGTGACAGGCGACAAAAGTGCAGCGCGTGCTTATAATACACAGAATATTATTGTCCATCGGTGTGGATGCTAATATTGTTATCTTTATCTTTGTAGTTATTGTTCTTGCAGCACTGCAACACTAATATTGGTAAATAAATGCTTAAAATATGCAGCTGTTGTACTATGCAAAGTATAACCATGACAAAACATGCTAGCTTGAGATTAGTTTGACAGAATCACTTACCAACCACTTACATGTGCACAGATATATCCTGCCTTCTACTCCCCTGTTGAAAAAACCAGCATATGCTGGTTAGGTATGTTTTGATGCTGGTTTATGCTGGTCCTTTGCTGGTTTAAACTGGTCCTTTTCTGATTTATGCTGGTCCTTTGCCAGCACATGACCAGCATAAACCAGCAAAGGACCAGCTTAAACCAGCAAAGGACCAGTTTAAACCAGCATAAACCAGCAAAGGACCAGCTTAAACCAGCAAAAACCAGCAAAGGACCAGCTTAAACCAGCATCCCAGCGTCAAAACATACCTAACCAGCATATGCTGGTTTTTTCAACAGGGTCATGTGGATACCAAGTGAGTTGGTGTTTTTTTAACGGTTATCATTGTTCTACTCACAGGATGTTGGTTTCAGTCACTCATCATACCTGCTGGTGTTCAGTCTGCTGTGCTGTCTGGGTATCATACTCTGTCTGGCCACATCAGTGGCTGTGGAGTGGACAGGCCTGCGGGTGGCCAAAGAACTGCACCACAATCTGCTCAATAATATTATCCTTGCTCCAATGAGGTACATTTCAACCTTCATATTCCTGAAGTGTTTATGTGAATTGTTATTGTATATTGTGTATAATTTGTCATGGCTGAGTAACGGTGTATGTGGGTATGTATTAGATGAAAGGACATGAGGTGAGTGGCCATGAGCATAGGGTTGAGAAAGTTTATGTGCGTCTTGTTTTATTACTCTTTGCCTGTGTACCCACTCTATGGCTCATTTAATAAAGCAATCAACATTTGGGGGATTTAGTGACTTAGTAACACTCTAAGTGCGCATGGGAGGACATCTGGACAGGCAGGGTGATATGCTAATCTGTGTTTTTATTATAATATTGGTTTACCTGCATGTTCTGCGGCCATTAACTGACAGAACCATGAACATGCAAATGTGTTAAATTATTGAAATATCTTGATGTAAAATTTAGGTCAAAGTGGGTCGGCTGATGGAGAAAGTTTGGAGGTCCCTGCTTTAGGTTATAGTTCAGCCCAAAATGGTCTTTCATTAAATTTTTTATTTTTAAATTGTGTATTTTCACCATGGAATGCCAAATGAGATATTTATCAGAATGTCATAGCTGCTCCTTTACAGGCAATGAAAGTGGATGAGAACTCGCAAACTCCTGAAGGACAAAAAAAAATGAAATGAAAATGAAAAAAAGTGGCCTGTGGCTAAATTTGAAAAAAGATTAAATTATTTTTTTCAAATTGTTCCCTCCTTCTCTTTCTAGGCTCTTTGAAACGACTCCTTTAGCAAGCATATTAAACCGTTTCTCTTCTGATACCAATACGATAGATCAGGTATGATGTTACGATACCAAAATCAAATGATGCTTCTGTGTGAGGCAGTATTTTTCCTTGGTTGACTATTAGAACAGCATTTAGCGATAGCTTTTAAATAACTGCATATGAATATTTCTGTTTCAGCACATTCCTGCCACTCTGGAGTGTTTGAGTCGCTCCACGCTGCTGTGTGTGTCAGCTCTGGGTGTGATCTCATACGTCACGCCGGTTTTCCTCATCGTACTCGCACCACTGGCCACCGCCTGCTACTTCATCCAGAAATACTTCAGAGTCGCATCAAAGTAAACAGTCAGATTAATTTATCAGAGGCTTTTATCTGAAACGGTTTACTTTTCCATTGCAGTTGCAATGATTTGTCCATATTTGTTTTGCTTGATTTTGATTTAATATTTATCCTGGAATAATATTGTATATCTCCAAATTTTGGTGAAAATCATGTATTCATTGTTAATTTGATGCAGTTTAATCTAATTCTAACAGAATTTAGAATTCAGTCACACATTTATTTTTAATACTTAAAGAGACATTTCTTCCAAAAATGAAATTCTATCATCATTTACTCATGCCACCCCTATTGTATGACTTTCATTCTTCATATGAATATAAATTAGGATTTTTAGAAAATAATCCATCTGATATAGTCCATATATTGCAATAGGCACCCAAATGTTAACGCTCAAAAAAGCACATACATCCATCATGAAGGTAGTCCATATGACCCTAGTGGATGAATCAATGTCTTCTGAAGAAAACCGACAGGTGTGTATAAGAAAAATATCATAACTGTCATACACGCATTCAAGAAAGTTGCGTTGAGTTGCAAGTTGTGAAGTTTGCACGAAAAGTGGCGGTCCACAAATGCGTGTATAAAAGTTGGATGGAAGGTGATGGTTTATAGTAAAAAATAAAATAAAAACTATAAACAATTACTTCCACCCAACAGCTGTACGTTCATTCACAATAGGATTGAGTTTATGCTTGACATAAACATTAGCATGTTGTGAGTTATGAAGTAAGCATATTGGTGTGATGTAAAGTTGTTGTAAAGCTAATGCGAAGCACAATTGACGGCCTCTTCTTGCACAAACTTGAGTTTACACTTGACGGAAACGTAAGTGCGTTGTGAAATCTAAGCATAGAGAAACGTCACTTCTTGCTCAAACTTTACAATGCAACAGAAGGTTGAGTTTACATTTGATGTAAATGCAAGCATGTTGTGAAGTGCAAGTGGGAAGTACAGTGGAATAAGTCATGTAAGCTTGACGCTGTCTTGAATGCATGTACAACAGTCAGCAGGAAGCAATGTTTATAGCTTTTGTACGTTTTGTAAGTGTTGACGTCAATGCATTGTAAAGTATGATGTAACCGTGGGCTGAAGTGTGTATAAAGCTTGTTGTAAAGCTCATGCGGGAAATGATGTGGAAGCAGCATCACTTCTCGAGCGAGCTTCAATGCAACAACTTCTCAAGCGTAAACTTAACCCTCTCTAGAACGCACGCATTGTAGTCAAGTTTATTTTGATTCTTTGATTCATCCACTGGGGTTGCATGGATTACTGCCATGATGGTTGTATGTACTTGTACGGACTCATAGAGATGGATTATGTTTCTAAAAACCTTCATCCGTGTCTGAAGAGAGAACGTCATATACTGTACATCGGGGGGCGGCATGAGGGTGAGTAAATGAGAGAATTTTCATATTTGGGTGAACTATCATTTAAGCATTGAAACTGTTTCGTTAAAGTGACCTGCGTGTGTATTTGCAGAGATCTTCAGCAGCTGGAAGACAGCACACAGCTTCCTCTCCTCTCACACTTCTCTGAGACCGTAGAGGGGCTCACAACCATCAGAGCGTTCAGGTGCGCAGAACGATGTTGATCTGTTGACCGTGTCACTCTCCTTCAGTCACTCTGGTTGAAAGCATCTGCTAAATGCTTTCTATATAAACACATTCTTCTGGTACTTTCCTTTCTTAGGTATGAGCCTAGATTCAGACAGAGACTTCTAGAGTTCACAGATGCCAATAACATGGCCTCTCTCTTCCTCACAGCGGCCAATCGCTGGCTGGAGGTCCGAATGGTGCGTTTATAAGCCACACAAGTCATTGTGTTGTTATTGTTTGTTCCAGTCTCCATGTGGTGTTCGTTTGATCAAATGCTACCTAATTGTGATACTGTTGTATCTCCTGCAGGAGTACATCGGGGCCTGTATTGTCCTAATAGCAGCTGTGGCATCCATCACAAACTCACTGTACAATCATCCGTCCACGGGGCTGGTGGGGCTGGGACTCACGTACGCCCTCATGGTAAGAATCCAAATATACTTTCTACAAACTGATCATCAGTAATATTGGATAACTTATGTGTATTTTATCTCTCAGGTGTCCAACTATCTGAACTGGATGGTGCGTAATCTGGCAGACATGGAGGTGCAGCTGGGAGCTGTGAAGAAAATAAAAGCCCTGCTGAGGACTGAACCTGAAAACTACGAGGGTCTGCTGTGTGAGTATCAAGACACACTGGATATCTGAGCCACGTGTATTGACTAGCTGCTTCGTCCTTCACTTTGAGTCTCATTTTCACTGGACTTGTGCGCTCAGCATCTGTCTCCTTCATTTCCTGTTTTCTCAGTTTCTGTCCGTCTCTGTATAACTTAGGCCTCTTATCTCTTTGGTTAAATGTTTCTCTCTCAGCGGCGTCTCAGGTTCCTGAAGGTTGGCCTCAGCAGGGTAAGATTCAGATCCAGAATCTGAGCGTGAGGTACGACAGCACCCTGAAGCCGGTCCTCAAACACGTCAATGCCCACATCAGCCCAGGACAAAAGGTATGCAATTGAAGTCATATTATATAAATAAATATATATATATTAGGGGTGGAACGGTTTGCGGAAAAAAATCGAACCGTACGGTTCAGCACGCGCTAGGACAACTTGTTCAACTTAAATCTGACAACACATCTGCAATATGGTTTGCTATAAATAACACGTAAAACAAACAAGGTTCAGCTAATATATGTTTTTGTTGATGGATGCGCATTCTGGCTTCCCAATACATTACAAGAACAGCGATGAAAAAAATAAAACGTGGACAAACCATTCACTGTTGTTCAATGCGAGTGCCGTATGCTGGAATATGAGCAGTCATTTATTCCGTCATCACCCAGGTGCTGATAGCGCGCGCGCACAGGTGAGACCTGAACAGCACACGATATCTGTGTTTAAGCTAAACTCGTTTAAGCTTTGCCAGTTTAAACATTTAAGAGCCAGAGGATGCAAGCTCACGTGTGCAGGGAGAAGATTTGTGTGTGCGCTCATCTGAAGCGCGCAAACCCGAACTCAGAACGTGCGCAAATATTAAGCTCTCTCTGAAGTATTATTTCAATGGACAAATTCACACAAAAATGGTCAAAATGGCCGTCTTGGTAAGTATCCTATAGCAGACATAGCCGGCTGAATGTACTGTATCAGTGCACTGGGTCAGTGCATTCTCTTAAAGTGACAGGACTTTCTTAATATTAATCAAACAGCAACAACAAAGAAATCACTCACTGCTCTTGATTGAATAGCTCTTGTAACTTTAATAAAAATTTATTTATACAGTCAAATATGCAATGCTATTTTACATTTCATTACTTTATTCAATTTCTGTACCTAAAAACTAATGTTAGATCTACCTAAAAAAAAACTGAAAATCACTGTTTATTTTATTTGTATCTTTACTCTATTGTATTTATTAGTGATGTTGCCTGTCGTTAGATAGATTATTCTTATTTTCCTTATTTTTATTTGACAGTATAGTTTTTGCCTAAACATAGCACATACCGAACTGTACTGAAACCGTGTGTGTGTGTGTGTGTGTGTGTGTGTGTGTGTGTGAAGAGTTCATTTGCAGAAACCGATAACGCCATTTTTGTTTTTTTTTCAGAAATCATGTTTTTTTTTATTGTGCATTCAAAGTAATAGCAATCAAACTGCAGTTGGTTTGTTTTGATTAAGTAATAATAACTTAAAGGGGTACGTGTGCAGGGAGAAGATTTGTGTGTGCGCTCATCTGAAGCGCGCAAACCCGAACTCAGAACGTGCGCAAATATTAAGCTCTCTCTGAAGTATTATTTCAATGGACAAATTCACACAAAAATGGTCAAAATGGCCGTCTTGGTAAGTATCCTATAGCAGACATAGCCGGCTGAATGTACTGTATCAGTGCACTGGGTCAGTGCATTCTCTTAAAGTGACAGGACTTTCTTACCACATACTGTACATTAATGCATCCGAATACCTCAAGCGTGTGATGGAAATGTTACGCCCCTTACCATACTGTGATGCCCTGTCCAGCCGGAGCGACGATTCAAAAACATGAAAACCCATTATAAACGAGGCATTTGCTGCATCCAGTGGGGACATAATTACGGATTATAGTGACTTATACTGTCTTTTTACGCGTTGCATTGCATCGCGCCGCGTAAACATAAAACCATGTCTGCACTTGTGATTGGAGAAATGACAAACAAGTGCTACTCTACACTGCTCAAAACTCGCGTTTGAATCATCATCATTCATTCATTGAAAGTATGTTATTTATTTTATTTTTTTACATATTTTATAACAAAAGCAGATAACTCCACATTTCATGTTTTAGAGTAAAAAAAAAAAAAACACTCGCTTAATCTTTGTAATCTCCTCAGATGACAATGTAGATGCCTGACAAACATTGTTGATGTTGTGATCATAAACTGTGTGGATGTAATTACACGCAATACATGGAGCTTTTATTTTCCTTTTTCGCCCTGAAGATATCAAAAGTTCATCAAGTTCGTCGAAATTATCCATCCTCGATCACTTTTAGTCAGCTTTGACGAAACTCCTCTCAGCTAGCACGTCTTTACAAAGTGAAAGTAGCCTTGTCACCTGACCTGAATACAGCACGCTGATTCGCTAAAATGGACTTATCGGCTTCTGTTCAAAAACAACAAGGGTGCTTGTCGGCTTCTGCAGTCAAACGTGAACTCGTGATGCCTGGACAAAACCGGCTTTTTTGACAAAACGTGTTTAGGGTTCAGATCGCGCTATATGTGGAGAATACTTTTTTTTTTTAAGTGGCATTTATCGGTTTTTGCAAATGAACTCGTATATATATTCATTATTTTTAAATATTTACAAATATATCTAAATAATAAATTGAATATTATAAAATATAAAAAATCTGAAACATAATTTGTATAGATTATTCATACTTCATATTAATTTAAGATATACTCTTTTAAAATATTTTTAAAAAACCAATTCAATTAATTTATCATACATATTGTAATATTACACAATTATTAATATTAAAATATGAAATATGTATTATAAATAAAGGTTAACTAAAAAAAATCCTTTGTTGTTTTGATCTGTTATAGGTTGGAATCTGTGGTAGAACAGGAAGTGGCAAGTCGTCTTTCTCATTAGCCTTTTTCCGGATGGTGGACACATTTGAAGGTGACTCATTTTTCTAGTTGAAGCTAATGTAATGTAAATGACAGATTATGTATGATATATGGCATGGATTTTAAGTCTGTATGATTTAACAGGGCGAATAATCATCGATGACATCGATATAGCAAAGCTGCCCCTTCAGACGCTGAGGTCGCGCTTCTCTATTATTCTGCAAGATCCCTTCTTATTCAGCGGAACCATCCGGTGCGTCTCATGAAACCAAATACTGCAGGAGTCAATGATATTGACACAGTATCCTAGACAATAGAATTTTGTTCATTTAAATTAAAAACTCATTTACATTTGAACAACATAATCGGTTTGAATTTGATACATGAGATATGATTTCACAAACGACCTATGTGCATTATGAATGGAAGACAGACAAGCATAAATAAGCATTGACATATTATTTATCACTGCCATTTTCGTTCTAAATGTACCGTAGCAACAGCAGAGTGAACTCATTTTTGTTCTGTTTCAGTGTTTTTAAAAGCCTCATCACACATCAGTATGGGACTGAAGAACTGAAGGATTTCTAGGGCAAGCTGAAATTATAATGAAGTTTTACAATACCTCATCTTCTTCTGTTCAGTTTTAATCTAGATCCAGAGATGAAGGCTACAGACAGCATGCTGTGGGAGGCGTTAGAAATCGCACAACTCAAACCAGTTGTTAAAACCCTGCCTGGAGGACTAGGTAAGACATAAAACATGCCGGATACTGATAGAAATCCAATGTTAAAGGGGTAATTCACCCAAAATATGACAATTCTGTCATTACTCAACTTCATGTCATTCCAAACCTACTGTTTATGAATTTTTTTCTTATGTGGAACATGAAAAATATCCCTTCAATCCATTTAACACCGTAAGCCTGACATACGAAATGACAAAAAAAAAAAAAGTGTTTATTTAACCTTTAGAGAAAAACTCTTTGTTGTTGCGTATCGTGTTTGATACATCAGGCTTTTATGGCTCACTATATGATATAATCAGAATATGGAGGAGGCCCAAACTGAGCAAAAATGTGACCCTGGACAACAAAACCAGTCTTAACCTCCTGAGACCCTGCATCCTCATATGAGTACATTATATTTTAGTGAATTTCTCTGAGACTATACATGCCACAGTTTGAAGTCTGGATGTCCTGTACAGAGCACATTCAGGGCTTTTCAGAGATACTAAATGTTTGGATGTTTCACTATGACCACTCCCTCTCCTTGGTCTTCAGATATGTCTGATATTAATTTAGTGACACTCTTATGGAAATATGATAATATTTTGTAATTATCATTTCAATCTGACACATTTTTAAACTGTGTGTCATAAATCAACATCTCAGGAAAATGTTATGGGGTTTCAAATCAAAATATAACTTTCTGTTACGAAACGGGACGTTGATTTCATACATGTCCTCATATGAGGAAACCAGAACTAAAAGCATGTTTATTACGCATTTTGGGAGACACAACAAATGAATAGGGAAATAAATTATATTTCAATATTCCTATGAAATATATATTATTATGAAAATCTTGTCAATTATTACTCTCAATATTACACTTCTTTTTTTCATTACATGTTGCCCCAAAAACACATTAATATGCTAATTAGATGTAGTTTATAGTTACATTATATATAATGAGAAAACCTGTTTATGGCCATTTTACACACATTTTGCATGAAGAAAAATGGTATATCAAATCATTCTGTTATAACATAGTTGAGAATTATCTTTATACTAAGTTTGGTCAAAAAATTTTTGTTTTTGTGTTAAATGTCAAATTGTTTTTGCCTATGCATGTTCATTCATGTCTTTTTATTTTTTTAAAGAAATTGAGTCCCAATGTCCTCTACCAAGGACGTAGCATAACTTATGAATAAAATATAATTGTTTTTTTTTGTTTTGTTTTTTTAATTCTCTAAACAATGTAATGACATGAAAAAATAAAAACATTTTCCTAAAATGTTTTGCCGGGTCTTAAGAGGTTAAGTGTCAAATTTGCGAAATTGGGATTTATACATCTGAAAGCTGAATAAATAATCTTTCCATTGATGTATGGTTTGTTAGGAAAGGGCTATATTTGGCCGATATACAACTATTTTAAAATCTGGAATCTGAGGGTGCAAAAAAATCTAAATACTGAGAAAATCGCCTTTAAAGTTGTCCAAATGAAGTTCTTAGCAATGCATATTACTAATCAAAAAATAAGTTTTAATATATTTACAGTAGGAAACTTACAAAATATCTTCATGGAACATGATCTTTACTTAATATCCTAATGATTATTGGCATAAAAGAAAAATCTATAATTTTGACCCATACAATGTATTTTTGGCTATTGCTACAAATATACCCCAGCGACTTAAGACTGCTTTTGTGCTCCAGGGTCACAAATATGCAATTTGGTGCAGATGCTGATGTTTATATGAACAAAATGTATAATGAAATTCTAAAAAAGCATGTAAATCAGTTTGATTTCTACATTATAGCGGTCTACTTGCATAGAATCATATAAATAGCAGTTGTCACTCTACATTTCCTGTAAGATGATATTTGAATGTTTAGTTTTGGGATCAAAGCTCTGTAGTTTCAAAACAAATAATGCAATGCAGTACAATGATGATGGAGAGATGAACAAATAGGCTAAATGTTAATCAAAAGCCTGATGGATTCCCATTTTGACATGATTTGTTCTAAAAAAAAAACAGTTATGCATGGATAATTAAGCAATCAAGTGAAACGTTGCTTCAGTCCAGTAAGTGTTCATCTTCAAATATTACTAACAATATAAGTGTTATTCTTATGTTTACGTGAACCACAACCTCAAGGTGGATGATTTTACAATTAAACTAATAGACTTCTTACTTGATAAAAGTATAAACGCAGCAAAGGTTTGGTCATGTTGAATTTAGAGAAATGAGGTTAATAAGGTTAAGATCTCATTTTTTTTCACAGAAAAACGGCTATATTTCTAACCGTGAGCACATCAGATTGACTGTGTGGTCAGCTGAGAATCACATCAAACCAGCTGCACCAACATTTCACTCTGAACACATAGAAACCATTTAGATTGCAAATCAAAAGCTCTCTAAATATATGACTTATGATCTTTCACCTTGCGTTTCAGATGCCATGATAACTGAAGGTGGGGAGAACTTCAGCCAGGGGCAGCGTCAACTCTTCTGTCTGGCGCGCGCATTCGTGCGGAAGAGCAGTATTCTGATTATGGACGAGGCCACTGCTTCTATAGACATGGCTACGGTGTGTGTGTGTGTGTGTGTGTGTGTGTGTGTGTGTATTTAGAAGTACAATAGAGAGTCTGAGAGGTAGAAGAAAAACACCCAGGGGCCGAGACCTCGATTCACTTCACTCGATTTTCAAGCACTCTTCTCCTCTGCCTTCATCTCTCTGAATAAATGAAGCGTGGCTCTGTTAAACGCACTGGCTGAGTTTAATAGAGCAACGGACACAGTTTGGGTCAGTTTGACTAATTCAAAACGAAAGGAAAGCGTCTGTGAGAAAAGTGCTGGTGTTTATACACCACCTGCAGATTGATATAAAGAATTCAATATAAAAATCCCATGCCAGAATGAATGCAAGCCATCATTAAAGCACTAATATATAAGTAATGTATACTGAAATTCATATTACCTTTTTAATTAAATCACTTAAATTGTAATAATAATATCATTAATTATGAATAATATTTTGTAAATGCATATATTGGAGAAATGCCATTAAAAATGATAAATTAACAATGCTGTTTTAGGTTAGATTTTAAGATTAGGGATTATAAAAAAAAGTTACTGATTCTTAAAAAACAGTATAATACATTATAATATATATTATAGTGCTGTTTTTAATATGTTAAGGTAAAAAGTTAGAAATTAAATAAAAAATAATATAATGATTATATCAATAATGTTGTTTTTAATAGATACGGTTAAAAATAAATTATAAAAAAATAATATAATATAATGCTGTTTTTAATATGTTAGGTTAAAAAAAGTTAGATTATAAAACATTATCATGTAATGCTTTTTAAGAAACAGGTTAGGTTTAAAAGTTAGAAATTATGAACAAATGTATACTATAATAATTATGTTAATAATGCTCTTTTTAATAGGCTAGGTTAAAGGGTTAGAAATTATTTAAAAGTTTATATCATAATTATAAAATGAGGTTAAAAAAGTTGTAAAAAAAATTATATTAGTAATGCTTTTTATATTTATATTATTTTTTTTATAGGAAAATTCTACAGCACAGTACAACTTTGTTGAGTCGGAGGCATCGCTAGGAATTCTGGGCCCTGTACACTGAATTTGCTATGGGGCCCCCTGACTATAGCCTACTATAGTTGTGTCTCTTTAGAACTGGAGTCCTCACTATGACATAAGTATAGTAGCTTAGTCTAGTGTGTCGTTTAATTGTTAACGCAGAGCCGTATCTAAAGTTGGCGTTTGGCACGCATGCCCTGTGCTGAGCGAGACTTTCTGTCCGGCCCAATGTCACATCTGAGGATGTGCGAGAAAATATCCGGTTTCAACTGACAGGCAGCGGCAGCCGGAGTACTAAAAGTGGCGTCTTCCCACGGGACCTCCTCACCTCCTGTAAGCGCGCAGACTTTGTGCGGAAAAACAGATTAGCCACGATACAACTTAGTAGCGCAGCCGCGAAATTATAGCATGGACCAGCTATGTTGTCCAGAAAAGGACTCATTCCCGAGGATTATCTGTTGACTCGCTTGGCGGAGGATGTGTTACAGCCCAAATTCAAGACTAAATCGCGGAAGGCGCGATTCGTCGCCAAGAACGGAACGTGCAACGTCGCTCACACGAACATTCGCGAACAAGGACGGTTTCTCCTGGACGTCTTCACTACACTAGTGGACCTAAAATGGCTTCACACCCTCCTGATCTTCACCATGTCGTTCCTGTGCAGTTGGCTCTTGTTCGGGATGATCTGGTGGCTCATCGCGTTCGCGCACGGAGATCTGGACCAGAAAGGTGACGACTTTGTGCCGTGCGTAACGGACATCCACTCGTTCTCCTCCGCGTTCCTGTTCTCCATCGAAGTCCAGGTGACCATTGGTTTTGGTGGACGGATGATCACGGAGGAGTGCGTGTCGGCGATCGTGATACTGATCATTCAGAACATAGTAGGTCTGGTGATCAATGCCATCATGCTAGGATGCATCTTCATGAAAACAGCGCAAGCGAATCGGCGAGCGGAAACGCTCATCTTCAGCAAGCACGCGGTTATAACCGTCCGAAACAACAAGCTGTGCTTCATGTTTCGCCTCGGGGACTTGAGGAAGAGCATGATCATCAGTGCCACCGTCCACGTGCAGGTGGTGCGCAAGACCGTCACCAATGAAGGCGAGATCGTGCCTTTGGACCAGATAGACATCCAGATAGACAACCCGGTGGGCACCAACAGCATCTTCCTGGTGTCTCCCCTCATCATCAGTCACGTTATTGATAAAAACAGCCCTCTGTATGATCTGTCGGCGGCGGACCTGCAGCACCGCGACATTGAGGTGGTCGTCATACTGGAGGGGGTGGTGGAGACCACCGGCATCACCACCCAAGCGCGGACCTCTTACCTGTCCGAGGAGATACTGTGGGGTCACAGGTTTGTGCCTACGGTGTCTGAGGAGGATGGGATGTACGCCGTGGACTATTCTAAGTTTGGAAACACCGTTAAAGTGGCGACGCCGGGCTGCAGCGCGCGCGCTCTGGATGAGGCTGGAGGGATGGAGAGCTTCAGACTGAAGGAGTCCAGCGGCGCGTCAGTGCGGAGGAGAATCAGACATCAAAACACCAAAGAACTGTGAATGTACTCTGCCATTATCCTCCTGAGACCCAACGAAAGAGTATATAATATTAAGTAACCTATAATATATACACACTCACACTATACGGCCAAAAGTATTGGGATGCCCCCTTCTAATGAACAGGTTTGAATACTTTAGTAATACTTTTCCATGAGTACAAATGTGACCCTGGATCACAAAACCAGTCACAAGGGTCAATTTTGTGAAATTGAGATGTATACATCATCTGAAAGCAGAATAAATAAGCTTTCCATTGATGTATGGTTTGTTAGGATCGGACAATATTTGAAAATCTGGAATCTGAGGGTGCAAAAAAATCTAAATACTGAGAAAATCGCCTTTAAAGTTGTCCAAATGAAGTTCTTAGAAATGCATATTACTAATCAAAAATGAAGTTTTGATGTATTTTCAGTAGGAAATTTACTAAATATATTAATGGAACATGATCTTTCCTTAATATCCTAATGATTTTTGGCATAAATGAAAAATCGATCATTTTGACCCATACAATGGATTGTTGGCTATTGCTACAAATATACCCCAGCAACTGAAGACTGCTTTTGTGCTCCAGGGTCACAAATCTTAATGTTTAAGCATATAGATGACTGTACCCATATATACAAGTCATTGGTGTTTGGTGATGAGTTTTTGGCTCAAGGTCTGCATTTAAAAAAAGGACTCATTCCCGAGGATTATCTGTTGACTCGCTTGGCGGAGGATGTGTTACAGCCCAAATTCAAGACTAAATCGCGGAAGGCGCGATTCGTCGCCAAGAACGGAACGTGCAACGTCGCTCACACGAACATTCGCGAACAAGGACGGTTTCTCCTGGACGTCTTCACTACACTAGTGGACCTAAAATGGCTTCACACCCTCCTGATCTTCACCATGTCGTTCCTGTGCAGTTGGCTCTTGTTCGGGATGATCTGGTGGCTCATCGCGTTCGCGCACGGAGATCTGGACCAGAAAGGTGACGACTTTGTGCCGTGCGTAACGGACATCCACTCGTTCTCCTCCGCGTTCCTGTTCTCCATCGAAGTCCAGGTGACCATTGGTTTTGGTGGACGGATGATCACGGAGGAGTGCGTGTCGGCGATCGTGATACTGATCATTCAGAACATAGTAGGTCTGGTGATCAATGCCATCATGCTAGGATGCATCTTCATGAAAACAGCGCAAGCGAATCGGCGAGCGGAAACGCTCATCTTCAGCAAGCACGCGGTTATAACCGTCCGAAACAACAAGCTGTGCTTCATGTTTCGCCTCGGGGACTTGAGGAAGAGCATGATCATCAGTGCCACCGTCCACGTGCAGGTGGTGCGCAAGACCGTCACCAATGAAGGCGAGATCGTGCCTTTGGACCAGATAGACATCCAGATAGACAACCCGGTGGGCACCAACAGCATCTTCCTGGTGTCTCCCCTCATCATCAGTCACGTTATTGATAAAAACAGCCCTCTGTATGATCTGTCGGCGGCGGACCTGCAGCACCGCGACATTGAGGTGGTCGTCATACTGGAGGGGGTGGTGGAGACCACCGGCATCACCACCCAAGCGCGGACCTCTTACCTGTCCGAGGAGATACTGTGGGGTCACAGGTTTGTGCCTACGGTGTCTGAGGAGGATGGGATGTACGCTGTGGACTATTCCAAGTTTGGAAACACCGTTAAAGTGGCGACGCCGAGCTGCAGCGCGCGCGCGCTGGATGACGCGGGAGGGCTGGAGAGCTTCAAACTGCAGGAGTGCAGCAGCCGCGGCGCGTCAGTGAAGAGGAGAATCAGACATCAACACACCAAAGAACTGTGAACTCGCTCTGTCATTAACCTCCCGAGGCCCAACGAAAGAGTTTGACATGTTTATTTATTTCATATAACTCTATTTGAATAAAACGTATCGATAGCTACTTGTATTGCTAGTCATGTTATACACTCTAAAAAATGCTGGGTTGTTTCAACCCAACTTTGTGTCAAATATGGACTAACCCAGCTGTTGGGTTAAATTTTTTAATTAAATTTTTAACCCAAAAGTTGGGTTAGTCCATATTTGACCCAAAGTTGGGTTGAAACAACCCAGCATTTTTTAGAGTGTAGGTTACTTAAAGGGATAGTTCACCCAAGAATGAACATTTGATGTTTATCTGCTTACCCCCAGGGCATCCAAGATGTAGGTGACTTTGTTTCTTCAGTAGAACACATTTGATGATTTTTAACTTTAACCGTTGCAGTCTATCAGTTGTATAATGCATGGCAATGGTAACAAAATCTATGAGAGTAAAAAAAAACATGCACAGACAAATCCAAATTAACGACACATTGATGTCCTAAGACACGAAACGATCGGTTTGTGCCAGACATTTATCAGATAAACATCACATTTTCATTTTTGGGTGAACTGTCCCTTTAA